ATGACCGAATGGTGCACTAATTCACCTGCCAAGGCCTGACGTGCAGGTGTTCAGGAAAATGAAAACAAGAGACTGGGATTCCGTCCGGCCCGTGCCTGGAATCGAAAGTTGGGCGAGTTGGTATGAATCCATTTTGAAAAACAGCGCGAATAACACACGGACAAGAGGGAGAGAACATACATGACGAGACGCTGACTATCAACTGTCTATTCAGAACACGTACATTAAAAACTCACGCGAGGACGGCTTCTTCTTTTTCCTCTTCCACCAGTCATTCGCCATTAAACACGCAACATTGTAAATCATATCAAATGAAACATTTTTGAGTACCACGATGCCGCCCTGGCCTTGCACACGTAAATGGCTCGTTTCTATGTTCTCCTCACCTTCTTTCGGACCCTTCATGTTTATCTGCCTTAATCGCCGTTTACGTGTGCAAGGCCAGGGAGGCATCGTAGCGCGCAAAACTGTTTTAATTTGATATGATTTACAATGTTGCGTGTTTAGTGGCGAATGACTGGTGGAAGAGGAAAAAGAAGAAGCCGTCCTCGCGTGAATTTTTCGGTATGTGTTCTGAATAGATATTTGATAGTCAGCGTCTCGTCCTGTGTGTTCTCTCCTTCTTGTTCGTGTGTTATTCGCGCTGTTTTTCAAAATGGATCCGTGCCTGGAATTCAATCCTGGCACTTCTGGCACTGCACACGCGTCAACCCACAGCGGCAAGAATTGGTGGTATCAAGAACGGGAGCGTCAACAAGGAAGCAACCCCCCCCCCCCCCCCCCCGAGAAATTTTTCCGCTAGATTTAGCGGGAGAATTTTTCCGCTAGATTTAGTGGGAGATTTTTTCCGCTAGATTTAGTGGGGAAATTTTTTCGCTAAATTTAGCGTGGAAGTTTACCCATAATGCACTGCGCGGTTACGCCGACAGCGACGCCGCTCAAGCCGGAAACGGCTTGAGCGGAGAAGAATGGTCTGAATCCATACACATAGAGATCCCGAATAGGATAAGTTCAGAAACCAGAAAAAAAAGTGAACTTCACAATGAAAATCTAATACACCAACTCATGTTTACAAACAACCAGTGTTGTACGGAACGGCGTTCCTGGAACGCGTTCCTTTTAGGAGGAACGAAGGAACGCCGCCGTTCCATTTTGCATGGCTGGAACTGGAACGGGAACGCGTTACATTTTTACTGGAACGGAAAGAGTAACGGCGTTCCTTTTTTTCGTCCAGTGGTGTAATTCTTATTTTGTTTCGAACAGAGAAATTTTGAAAGTACAAAAACACTATCTTTATGAAGTGCAGGATCTCGTTATTTTTTTGGCTACTAATCTTGTGGATTATTTTGTGTGGTCCTCGCTTGCTAACAGTTTCGGGTGCAGGAGAGCTGGTGGACATTGATTCATTTTTGAGTGCCCGAAACTGCGGTACAAAAAGCAAGGCTTTTAGTCGTAGGAAAAGACAAAGAAAGAGGGTTGTTGCAAGCTCAGCTACTTTCTTTGGTTCCACGAATCCTCATACACCCAGAAATCTAAGGCCGACTACAGCCACTTGTGAACTTCCATAACGAGGCCTAAAGTTACAACAGGATCACAGACTGCCAGACATCGAACGCACCCTTGTGTCACGAACATTGGTCACTTAAACGATACACGAAAAAAATATTTCTTCTCTTGTCCCCTTCCCTCCCCTCCCTCCCCTCCCCTCCCCCCCCCCCCCCCCCCCCCCACACACACACACACCTTCAAAATGAACAACAAAGCCAACCTTACAAAGAAGTAATTGTAGTTTTTAAGACGGACCTTCCAAAAGCCCTACCCTCTCCTCGAATTGCTTGTCTTGCGGCCAGCAACATCGAGAAGCAACTGTTGTTAAGTTCGAACAGGGGACTTCGCTCAATTGAAACGTGGGAGGTTGCTGTGAAACGCTCGTACAATTTTGGGTAAAAGTACATTCGGCTCGTCTGAATCGTCCACTACAAACATGAATAAGTTTAAAAGCTGAGATTTTTAACTTGAATATATGAACAAATGAAAACCTGCTTCCGCTTGTTTTTTTCTCCTGTTGCCCTTCCATAAGGACATACAAACTCGTATGTTGACTTCTAATGCGACAGATAAAAAGAAAAATCTCTACTTGATTAAACTAAATATATTAATTAGCAAAATACAAATGTAACGTATATGTAACGATACGTTCCATTTTTTAAACTGTAACGGGAACGAGTTCCTTTCTCACAGATGGAACTTGTAACGGGAACGCGTTCCAAAAATCAGAAGGAACAAGGAACGAGCTTTCGTTCCTTTTTTTGAGGAACGTGTACAACACTGCAAACAACCCGGCGCGCCCTCTCCCTCTTTTTCTCCCTTCCTCTCTTTCTCTGGCGCATGCGCGGTGGCCGGTGGGCAAAAAGCTCGGCGTCCTGCGTAAACAAGCCCTTGGTATACGCGGTTGTTTTTCACTTTGTGCCGTGTATTTCGCTTGGTATTGTTTTTCCTACGTGCCGATTGCAATGTCGGACTACTACAGCGGCCTCAGCGAAGTGGACAAAGCCCGTTAGGACGCGAAGCTGCGTGTAAACGGTGTGGATTACGGCGATCCGTACCGCGTGGACGCCTCGGAATGGGCGTTGACGGGTCGGCGGTGGCCCCCCGTTACTATGATAAACATAACAGTGTATCTGCTTTTTACATCGAGCCGATTTACGCCGGACACATTGCAGGCGTACAAGTCCTTGGAGGCGTACAACTACTTCGAGTCAGGTAAGCAGGGCTGCATTCCATCGCCTCCCGAAGCCAGCTGTTTTAGGCCAGAGTTGAGACGACGTTTCAAGCGTAGTACGGACTGAATTTGAATGATTTGCGCCACAGAGCAAATATGCAAGGTGTTGAGGATTCATGTAGGTCATTCCGAGATCCGTGACGCCGCAACCACGTTTCGTTGGTGCTGTACTACATACTCACTCTAATTATTAAGATAGCTAGCCTTTTTCCCGCGTCGGTCGTTGATTTCGTCGGTCATATGTCTGTGGTTAAAAACCGCGTTTGTAGCACAGCTTTGAGTTTTACGTGCTAATGCTTACCCTGCGTTTCTGTTCATTCCATGTGCGTGTATCACGCCCACGCGTACCTGGAACAATCGTCATTCAGAGGTGACGTCCAGTAAAAAATCCAGTCGGCAAAGACGCCTAGTCTTTACAAAACAGGTCTAACTGCTCGTGCAGAATGTTTCGTTCTCAGGAATATAGCCTTGACTGAGTATTGCAGAGCTATGCTGTGTACTGTCCAGTGACTAGCGGAACATGCGATCGCCGGTGTCACCCGTTTTCTGCTAGCAACTGATAGGCTGTCATGGAAGCCACTAGTGGCGGCGGTGTGCTCGTGTGAGGCATCTACCATATTAGTAGAAATCGTTGTTGAACACCAACATGAACAAGTAGAAGACAACATTATTTTTATGTCACATATTTCTTGTGTTGTGCCACATGCAAGTACATCTAAATTCACATGTCACATTCCTTCCACCCACTTGCAATTCTGAGGCTGCTGTTCTGATATTCTTCTCAAACATAGACTGTCGTAGACAGGATGATCATTGTAAAACCACCGCCATGGTGTCAAAATTAAGAGGGTATTTGGTTGAGAGTGGTCACCATTTCACGAACAATAAAATGGTGTATTGGTTTTGTATTCTTGCCCAGGCCATGTACGTGACGTCCGGCTGTGGCAGCCTGACAGGCACGAGTTGTGTTTTGTGCGGGCGAATGTCAAGCCATCGCAGAGGGCAACTGGCCCACCCCATGACGTATGGGTATGCCTGGACCATAAGACAGGTCAGGTGTACTGTGGCCACTGCACATATAAAGCGGGGTAAGTTCGTTCATAGCTGCACCGGCAACACAGCATTTTCCAGAAGCATTATTTGCTCGTTTAGATGCAAGCTGATTTAACTATTTACCTCTTTTCTTGCAGTGTCTGGGTGAGGTCGGCAGTCATGTAGCTGCACTTTTGTTCTGTGTGGAATACACCGCCAGAGTGTCCCAGGAAGACTCGTGTACCTCTCAGGCATGTACATGGACCAGGACTGTCGCAAGAAAGGTCTGTTTCAGTACTCATGCATATTATAAATATGAGCTCTTGTCAAATATTTTTAACTATTCTGGATCTTGGTGTCTGAAAGCCTATGTGACAGATTGTGTAACTAAATTACAGCTGTCTTTCGTTTCTTTTGGCTACCTGCAGAAGTAAAGCCGTGCACGGAAAGGGACTTTCGTATCCGCATTCAACCTGCCTTCATGAATCCTGCATTCGCAAACTCTTAAAATGTGTGCTCAGTGACGCTAAAGTTGAAGGCATTTTGCTATGAGAAATATCATCTAGGCCAACCCAAGAAAATGTCAGGATTGTAATTATTGTCTTTGGATAACAATCCCAATGCTTAATCCTTTGCCCAGAACAAGCAGTCTTCAGTGTCCGAGGGCATAATCCGGGGAGCTTTTCAGAATTGTGACAAAAATTATGCTTGTGCTTTTTGGTGACAGCACTGGCTGTCTTGCAGTCAAAGGTATCAATGCAGCGAACAAGCTGTGGAGATCACATTACAGCATGTCCATGTTCAATCTGTTACCTACATATTGCAATGAATTTTTAACTCCATTGTTCAGCTTCATTGTACCTACCGTAGTTGCAGGCTTAGATCGCCACTGTGGTTATCTCTGCTGTTGTAGTGCCATTGAACCCTTAATCATCAGTGCATATCCATGCATAAACGGTAAATATGAAGGGCTATATTTAATATTTATGACACTAGTTTATTATTTTTTATCTATGTGCTACGATGAAAAGTGCCTAGATGGAACAAAAGTTCAGTAGCAGCGAGGTGTGTAAAATCAATGTGGATTCATACAATCTTTTGCCACGCTTTGACAACTTGAGATGCAGGCCTTTAAAAAAAAAAGGGCGATGTAAATGTGCATGCCTACACTACAGGAGGACATGGTCTCTGTGCACCAGCTGGACCTCAGCAAGCCCGGAATGCCGAGCCGAACCCTTCCCGAAGAACCAGACCATGTGTCCGGGGATTTCCAGCTCGCCGACAAAGCCCTCTTCCAAGAGATTCACCGGCTGAACCTTGAAGCAGTCGTTTTGAAGTCCATCCCAAAGATGGACGACGAGGACACCGACTCCGCCTCAGAGGACGAACAGTCCTACACATTTTTGAGGCAAGCTAATGCTCATTCCTGTTACTAAATTTGGCACATTGATACTTTAACCTGTGGGTTTCTACTTTACCTGCTGGACACTGCTAAGTAAGTCCCACTCCGTAGCTCGCTATTTAAAACGGCTACGGTCCAGTTCACCCGAAGACTGCCGTAAGGCTCCGATGGAGAGGAGACAGCAGCAACACACTGAATTTGTAAACGATGTGTTTATTGGCACTCGAAAACGACAACACGCTTTGCCCTGTCAGCCAAAAAAAATAAAAAAATAAAGAGTTGGTATTGCCTTATTTGACGGAACTGCCTGTGGGGCCCATGCTGCTGTATGGGACAGATTCGTGGGAGGGGAGATGCTGCGAAAAGAAAGTAAAGTCCCTGCTTAGCCAGAGCCTCCCCTTATGGGAGCTCCCATTCATTGGTTTGAACCGGCTTAAGTAGCCCGCGGGAAATGGATGTGCTTGGGGCGGCTGGTTGTAGGTTAGCCTGAACCTGGGCAGCTCCATAATCATTCCGAAGGGCGCACTGGCGGCATGATCACCGAGTGGGCGAGACCACCCACTTGTTGTTGGCGGAACATGATCAAAATAGGTCAAAATAAGGCCTTAAAGACGAGGGCTGGTATTCTTCAGCACCTAATAGTGTGACGTGCCTTACACAAAATGCAGGTTTCTTTGGTGCTTTGGCGGCAAGTTTCTTTAATTCATAACATGGGGCTAAACTATCAATCAGCCCCATATTTTTAAAACAAATCAAGGTCATAGCAATGTGTTGTGGGGCAAGAGACTATCAGGTTACCAGTGAAGTGCAGTTGTGCTTTAACCGGAAATCTCTTGTCGGAAGTGGGCACATATGACTGTGGGTGCTGTGCACCTCGTTACTTCGATGGGCTTCTCTTCAGTCTTTCTATGAGTATTAAAAGTCAGTGCGCTATCTCCTTTACTGTCGTGCATCCCCTGGGAAGAACATGTCCAGAACATTTAAGTTGCACGAGCCTTGTTCATTGACTCAGGAATGCTCATTGCTTCTGCAGAAATGCTAGGGGCAGAAACAAAAGTGTGAATGTATCGTCTCAAGAGTGTGACAAACGCCGCCCAGTGCCGTGTATGGGGAGACTTTGGCCAGTCTATGATCTTTCCGCCGGACGCCCCCCTTCCGAGTGAGCCAATCAGCCCGTGGCGCTGAGCGAGAGGCGTGAGCACATGTGCGTGAACTCTCGGCTGCTCACAGCTGAGCGGGGAGGGCCGCCATTTTTACTCGTTCGTCCGGCAAAATGCATGGGGTCGACATCCAAATTTCGCTTCTTTCCTTTTATTTGGCAGGCTTTTGCACAAAACTATTGTTCTTCCTCGGTGGCTTAAAAAGCTAACGAATTAAGTTTCTTTGCATTTGAACGGAAACTTTGCTTCCGGCGAAAAAGAAATAAGCCCGCAGCAGACGACGCGTAACCTCAACCTCATTTTGACGCAACTGCATTGCGTCAAAATGGCGGTCGTCTCCTCTTTGCTCCCTTCTTGCTTTCTCGTCTTTCGGCGCTCTCCTCTCTTTCCTTCACTTTTCTCCTCTCCGGCGCCTTCGTTGCCACACCCACTGGACAAACTTTCCCAATATACGGCTCTGACGTCGCCTGTCTTCATAGTGTTCTAACGTTTGTAAATATTTCATTTTTAAGGAAAGTCAGGAGAACAGGATCAACGAGGAAGTCGCTCCGGCAAGACATGTTTGTTCCCATAAGAGAAATTGAGAGGATAGAAAAGAGCCCGAGACGGCAGGCGACAACACTTATGTGGCGGGAGGTTCGCTACGGCAGGATAACTGCTTCCATCATCAACAAGGTTTGTGAACTAATGACATTCGCTCGATTTGCGTAAGTGCCAGCATGCTGAGCATGTGCCCTTTACAGGTGCGCACAATGCGAGACACTACATCCCCATAGGCCTTCCTCGACCTCGTTCTACTAAGAACACCGCCACTGACCACCGAGGCCATCCGCTGGGGTGTCGGGAAGGAGCCCGAAGCCAAGGAGGCATATCAGAAGTTCATGGAGACTCGCCACAGCGACTTCAGGCTTTGCAGTGTTGGGTTCGTGATCGATGAGAAGGTCGTACCTGCTGCCATTATTCTTCTCTTCGTGTTTGAATGTGCAAGGACAGACAAAGCTTGTACAACTTTCTTAATTTATATCTTAATCAGCTGGTGCCAACAACTGAAGCACTGTTCTCTTGTTCCATTTCACAGCCTCACAAGGAATTATAATGGTTGTATGTTAAGGCTCGTTCACACACTTGTAACCGAGAACGACCGAGAGACACAACTGGTTTTTAAGCCTCTTGCGACGTCTTAGGACCAGCTCCGCAGCAGCACATGCGGTCCCAAGACGTCGCAAGAGGCTTAAAAACCGGTCTTGTCTCTTTTCGTCCTACTCGGTTACAAGTGCATGAATGAGCCTTGAAGGGGCGTCCACACCGGAATTGAAAACATGCACGACTCCCGACTTTTGTTGTGACGAAAAACCGCGTCGCAGGAAAGAGACAAAAACCTGGGCTAACCCTCTTTCAATTGGTTTGGGAGAGGGCTCTCTCAAACCGGTCCTCTGCTTGTTGCAATTGCTTGGAACCAAACTGATCAAATGCAAAACTTTCCATGTTTTGGTCTTCTGAAAGGAATAATGTGCTTAGATGGGCCAGTTGGTACATTGCAAAGGGTATAAAGCGCCGAAGAAACATGGACCAAGACGTGAAGAAAACGGCACGGGGCCCACTCCCAACTGAAGTTTATTCGAAAAAGTACACGCTATTACTCCCAACAGGAATGCACAGTCATCAATCAATCCCTGGCTGTTCCCTGACGCACGTGTTTCCCCTAGCCCTAATCTCAAAAGCCTCGTGTAGTTTGCATGACACCTTGTTTTTTGTATTTTGCCAAAATCTTTGTGCTGTTGGATGACGGGGCGCAAGGGCATCTGCTGCAATGAACAGCGAGATGCCCTGATGTTGTCGTCCTCGTGGAAGCTGCGTGTTCGCGAGCTTGATCATTAACACACATATTTGCCCTACATAGCTTAACCTACACGTCATTGGGATCTTATACACGCCGCCAGTTGTGCAATCTGTGTAGTTGTTCCTATGTTTAGTGTTGCACGGGTCTATGAACGCCTGGAGATTATTGATACTTCGGCATAATCGCGAGATCTTGTTAGGCGCTGAAAACACCACCGTGACATTGTAACGCTGAGCCTCCTTCTTAAGGTTGCGTGTGACGCTGTGCATATATGGAATAACCACCATTTGATGGGGGCATTTATGTGCAGAAGAAGGGAATTAGCATCGGTGCCAGTGTTGCTCCTGTTTTTTGCAATATTTTTTTAGGTGTGCGCAGAAAGGCTATCTCGGAGAAATTGATGAAGAGTGATGGCAGATACAAGGTATCTAACTACGTTGATGATTTCCTCATCCTCGCACACACAATCGGTCCCTCAAGTTGTGAGTTGATGGAGGTGCTAGAGGTATTTAAATCATGTTGCCACGAATTGTCTTTCACTGATGAAATACCTAAAGATGGAATAATGCAATTCCTCGACCTCAAGCTTAGTTCTTTAGGGGAGCACATTTGCTGGACGTATGCACATAGGTCAAAGAAGGGGATTCTTCCTTACCACTCCTGCCATTCAAAGCCCGTGAAGAGAGATATTGCGAGCTCGTGTTTAGAAGCGTCACTTAAGAAGTCCTGTCTGCGCAGCGCACAAGATAGCTTTGTGAGACGGGCAGACCGATTGCGGAGGGGGGATTCCCAATGAGCTCATTGGTCGAGGTAGCCAGGAGCCTGATAAGGAAATTTAAGACATCACAGAAACCATCCTTCGACATAACACTTTAACGGCCGGTGGTTATTCTATATATGCACGGCGTCGCACACATTCTTTAGAAGGTGGCTAAGCGTCACAATGTCCCGGTAGTGTTTTCAGCGCCTAACAAGATGTCGCGATTATGCCGAAGAATCAATAATCCCCAGCCGATCATAGACCCGTGCAGCACAAGGCATAGGAATAAGCACACAGATTGCACGACTGGCGTCGCGCATGAGATTCAGATGACGTGTGGGTTAAGCTATGTAGGGCAAACAGGCCGCTATGTTAATGATCGGGCCTGCGAACACGCAGCTTCCACGAGGACGACACCGTCAGGGCATCTCGCCTTTCATTGCAGCAGATGCCCTTGCGCCCCATCATTCAACAGCACAAAAATTTTGGCAAGATACAAGAACAAGGTGTCACGCGAGCTACACAAGGCTTTTGAGATTAGGGCTAGGGGAAACAAGTGCGTCAGCGAAACGTCTTTGGCCCCATCGACGGATGAGTAGGAGTACTTAAAACGCGAGGTGGGCAGAAAATGATTGATGACTGTGCATTTCCCTAGGGAATAATAGCGTGGGGAACGCGACAGAACAGCACACGACAAAACAGCACGCGACAAAACAGCACGGTCAAAACAGCACGCGTCAAAACAGCACAGCGTCAAAACAGCACGGCGACAAAACAGCACGCGTCAAAATAGCACGCGACAAAACAGCACGGCGTCAAAACGGCACAGCGACAGAAGAGCACGTGCCAAAACAGCACGGCGTCAAAACAGCACATGCGACAAAACAGCACGCATGTAAAAAGGCTGTAATAGGTAGCGTTTTATGAAAACAAAACAGAACGTAAAGAAAAAGGGTTGGACATTGCATGGCATTATTTAACAGCTAGTGGAGAAACAATAAAAAAAAAAGTACGCATGGCGGCGACGGGATCGCACTCAAATCCCGAGTGCTGCTGCTGTGTGATTGCTAAAGACAAATAAAGTTAGCAGTAGTTACTACTACTTAACTACGCTAATCTCTGAAGAGATTGGGTAGTTAGAGGGGATACCTTCGCGTCGATGTTGGCTGCGTTGTCTGGTCTTTTTTGAAGTATCAGGGAAAGAGGAAAAGTTATTGGGAAAAAGGTATTCATAAGTTCAAGTTATGGACTGCCTTGTTTTTGGCGGTCCGGTGAGGTTCCGTAGTACTCCTCGTTTCGTAATTTCCACCTAAGCGTAGAACGTCCGCCTCCCCCTCCCCCCTCCAAAAAAAAAAAAGCGGGAGATGCGCCGATTGCAGATGCATTGATAGAAACGGTAAGATAAGGTGACTTTAATGTGGAGCGTGAATAAAATCTCCTCGAAACACACGGCTGTGAGCTTGCAGGAGAAGTTGTACGTTTTGAGTTAAATTCACAGATTATTGGCGACGAAGGCCTTAATCGAGTGGAAACCGGTGAAGCAGTAAAGGCCGCAGGCGCAATGCTGTGGTATTACACTGCAGCATGGGCTGAATACACCGTTACCGCACACGCTTTCTGTTTTTTTTTTTTTAACAACTAACGACAGCACATTGCCGTGCGATTGAATTATTTATTGTAGACGATATCACCAGGCAAACTTGCGCGTCAAAATGAGCAAAACTGCTCGAAAAAATTGCGGTGGCTTAGCTCGGCTATGCCAGGATATACGTAGCGTGAGCTTATGCGCACAAAATGAGAGGCGCTATCAAGCGGCTCCGGTGCAGCGTCAGACTTGGCTACTGCGCAACGGAAGAGCACAGCTGGGCACGCGGTAGCGCCAGTGCGTCTGCCGCGGCTATGACGTCACTCCTCTGGAATGCGCAGAACCGGCGAGGCGGGCGCGGCGGCGGCGGCTCCGGCGCGCCAGCTGTGCACCGTGTGACGTCACCGCTCCTCGCGTTTGCGCAGCACGGAGCACGGCTCATTATGCGAGCCACACGAAACTGCTCAACCTCGGCCCCAATGTAGCTCACGCTACAAACTAGCCAGAATAAGCACCAGCGGGGGCTTCGGTACTACCCAGGGAACCCTCATGCGCGAACTTGCTTCCAAAAGAACAGATTTGAAAAATTGACCGTCGACGAGTTGGCTTTTGACGAATTGGCCTAGAACCTCAATTTCTTTACAGTTCCTTATTTGAGACGTGCATTCTTTAACTTCAAACGCTATATTTAGGGTTCAGCGTTTTCGGGTTAAACCGAACATAACCGGTGAAAGTACGCCGAATTAATTTTTCCAAATTCGGTCTTAACTGAATAAGTTAAGTATTTTCGAGGGCGTTTGGAGTGGTGTGTGTGTGTGGGGGGGGGGGGGGGGGGGGGAGGGGTGAGAATGTGACTCATAACTAGGGTTTTGTGTTACCCGGCGGTAAAAGTTTCGTGTATTCGGATTGATCTGATAAACTCTGAATTTCGATGTGCCAATCCCCCCCCCCCCCCCCCCCCCACATACACACAAAAATACATTTTACAATTAATGGTTTAATCAGCGCGTACAGTAAATGGTCCTGGGAAAATGCCACCACACATCTTTCAAAATCAGGTCAGGGCAACAGGTCATTGTACTATCGGGTCAAGACAAAAGTCACTGTTTTCGTTGCTAGTTTGGGTCATACAATTTGTGCCTGAGAAGAAGGAGGGGTTGTGTTTTTGTAACCGTGAAAGCTATGGAACCATAGAGATTACATAAAGTGGGGAAAAGGACAGTTGAAACTTCTCTATTTCATCCTTTTCCACTCTGCCTCTTGCCGCCGCGCTGTACGTCGATGGAATAGCATGGAATGAATACAGGCTTCCCAGCAACTACCTCCAGTAGGTTATTGATTTTAAGGTATCGACATTTATCGAAATAACACTTGTGTACCACTTTTGTTCTAGGACAAATTAGTATTGCCAGTAGTAATGGCACCAACGCCAAATCCAACTGAAGAAAATGTTAATTGATACAATTGCGTTTTTTTTTCTTTTTTGTCCAGATAAGTTTACATTTGGATAATATTTGTTTATTTTTAATTAGAAACACTGCGAAATCGAGCTCCAAATTTCGGAGAATTCGGAATCAAGCAAAAATAAACT